AAAAAAAATAAAAAAAAAAAGGGGGGGCTGGGGGCCCCCTTTAAAACTCTTTTTTTGGAAAAGTCCTCCCCCTTTGGAAATGAAAAAAAAATGAAAAATTCGGGAAAAATGGTTTTTTTTTTTTTTTTGCGCTTGGAAAGAAAGGAGCGTTCCCGAGCAAGACCCGTCGACCCTCTTCGGCTTGAGTCCATCTGAAGGTCACCCACACTTCGCTGCAGCCTCATCTCTTCCTCCACCCTGGGTTATCAAGCAAATTAGTAAAGGGAAATTTAGCCATGCCATCAATCTAATCTCGGCTTTGTTCGATATTTACTGAATGCTTTTATGAAACTTTACACTTTTTAATTTTGATGCAAACAAAAAAACAATCTGCATATATGTATTTAATATCTCTACGATTACTTTTTGCATTTTAATCCTAATTCTCATTCTCTGAGCATATCTATAAGACTGCTCAAAACTGCAGTTTTTAGTATGAGTAAAGTAAACATTTAATACAATTCAAGTATACATTTTGGGCAGCCAACCCAGTTTCTTATCCCTTTGCCTCTGTCCCTGTCTGATACATTGCTTGTGTGCAATGAAAATATAAAGTTACAGAAGTACATTTTGTTTTTGACTTTAGTTGTGGCCAATATCTGGCAGCTATCACAAAAAATACTTTAATTTCTCATATCCGGCCAAGTCACAGAAAATATGAGAGAGAGAGAAAGAGAAAGAGAGAGAGTGAGAGAGACAGAAATAGAAATAGAAGAGAAAGAGAAGAGAGATGACAGAAGAGACAGAGTGAGAGAGAAGAGAAGAGAAAAGAAGGGAAGGGTTTGGGAAGAGAAGAGGAGACAAAAAAATTCTTTGCAACAACATGCACCTTGAAAACATTTAAGAGAGTTCTAAATACATGCTGTACTTCATGCTATGAGATATACATATATGAATCCACATAATACAGGTATAATACTATCCTGAATATACTACCCTGGATGTTATATTCCAGGTCTCCTTACTCAGAAAACTACAAAAGTATCATCAACTGTAATATGTAAATAAAACAATGATGGGAAGAACAAGAAAACACATGACTATGCCTTTTTCTTATCTTTTTCAGGGCAATGTGGTGAAAAGGCCTTCAACAAATTTATGACTTCTCACTTTTTTTTATTAATTGTTCAGCATCAACTACTGTGCTGATTTCATGCTTTATAATCTCAAACAAAGGTACCAGGAATTGAAAGTTTATAAAAGCTCCCAAGCATAATGGATCCTAACAGCACCTTTTATAGGAAAAGAAATACATTGAGAAGGCTTATATGCTTACATGCTCATGCTAACATGTTCTAGGACTAGAAAATTCCTCTATGCAACTGTGTACAACTAATCCATCCCAAAAGAAGTATAAAATGTAAACCATTAATGTGTATGATCTCCTACTTAATATTTATAATACCTCATGCATCAAAATTAATTGATAAGGCTATATATTTTTCCATATATCTATATAATGATAAGCCCTCAAAAAGAGAGATTCAGTTCCACCACAAATGGTCATCATCAATACTTTCATCCTTGTAAGAAAAACTGTGATGTCCTCATAAGGGGTAGACGCAACACAGGAAAATGTATAAAACTGACATTCAAATTGTTAACTCATTGCTGCCATGTAAATGTACTATAGTTTTCTTTTGTGAATTTTGTTTGCACATGGATGGCTCCACAAGTACTGAGCTATCAAGGAGCCTACATGATCTTTCCCGATTTTCCCTTTCCTTGAGATTTCAGAAAAATGCTATAAATACTGATATTATTATCAGTATTGGCATTATGATGATTATAATGTCCTTAACAACATTAAAAGAACGAAGACTTTTTTTTTCAATCTGGTAAATAGGTTTAATATGTGGGACTAGTAATTGACTCTTAGTGATTAATTACTTGAGAAGCCATTAAGGACTAAGACAGTTAATACACAAACAAGCAAACAAACAAACAAAAAATGGACATGGCATGTATTTTGCCATCCCAATACCAATGAGATACCAAAAAAAGGGCTCTTTATAAAGAAAATGTGGTAAAGAAACTAAAGAAACTGAGGGCCATATTAGTGGAAGATGAGGATGCAGAGAAGAAGGAAAAGGATGAGGACAAGTTAAAGGAAGATAATGAGGCTAACGAGGAGGAGGAGGCAAAGAAGAAGGAGATGGAGAAGGAGGAGGAGGAGGAAAAAGTAGAAGGAAGAGAAGGTAGAAGAAGGAGAATAAGAACAAGAAGGAAGCTAGTAATGGCAGAGGAGGAAGAGGCAGGGGTGAGGAGTAGGTGTAGGAGACAGGGTAGAAAGAGGAGGAGGAGGAGAACAGAGTGGGAGGGAGAATAAAAGGAGAGGAAGCAGAAAGAGAAAAAGAATATACCTTTCCACCATCAATCTGTTAGTGGGTAAACAAAACAGTAATTAACTTGTTCAACTTACTTGTCTTTGCTTGGAACTGTTCCACATTGTCTTTTCTGTCCATCTTCATCCACAACCCATGCTCGCCACTGACCAGGCACATTGTTAAACATTGTGTTATCTACATATAAAATGTCTTCTTTTCGAAAGCGAAGATCAGTAGAATCCCCGGCGTCACCCAATCGATCAAACAATGCACGTATATAGAAGCTGTCACCAGGTTTGTCCTGAATTTCTTCATATCCTGAAAGCATTAGCAAATAACAACATGAATGGAATCATGAACAAATAAGACGCTGCTAAACTAAGTAAATTAGTACTTGAAAGTCAAGAAAGAAAGGAAAGAAAAAGGGAAAATACTATCAATATAGAAATAAAACCTAATATCACAGATTTCTCAGTTAACAATGTCTTCCTTGAACTCACTTTGGTAATTGTACTGCACTAGCATTTTAACATTATCAGCAGGTTTTGCAAGCTCAAAGGCAGCTTGTTCAGCAGTAGCATGTCGGAGATCCACTCCATTGTACTCAAGGATGTGGTCACCGGGACGGAGCCCAGCTTTAGCTGCCGGGGAGTCTGGAGGAACAGCATGGACAAAGATCCCCAGAGCATTTCCCCCAACCATCTGTATTCCCAAATTGTGGGATTTATTAAGCTCCAAGTACACCAGTCTTGGTTCTGCGCTTGCATTATTAGGGCTGACTCCACTTCCTCCACTGCCTGCTCCAGGATTATTGCCTCCACTACTAACACCACCATTACTGTTACCAACACCACCATTCTCACTACGCCTGAAAATGAATAATGGAATTAATGTGGAATAATCTGCCACCAATTATTTCTAACAGTATCTAACAACAATCCGATGTTTTTATACACCACATAGAACATTTTCACTGAAATTAAAACCCAAGTATTGAAAAGCTTCATCACACACACCTTGAAAATGTTTCTCTTTTAAGCGAGTTCATCACATGTGCAATTTCAGGACGGGTGAGTGTGGATCTAGCAGAAGGCGACAAGGAATGATCAAGGGAATGGTCAAGAGTGTCACGAAGATCCAGTGGGCTACGGAGAGTGGATGTAGATGATGGAGGCATGTTATCATCATCTACAGAATGGGGAGAGTCATGCGAGGTTGGTTTGGGAGAGTTGCGAGGGGTTGGGGTGCCCGAGCGAGAACCTCCGACACTGCTGCTGCTGCTGCTGCCTACCCAACCTTCTGCTTCTTGGTATTCTGTAAAATAAACAGTTAAGTTAATAAGCAACCGTCTAACCAAAAATTTCTTTAGCTTGCCCATAGACAATAACAGTTTAAAACTAGCTGGCAATAGAGATTACAATAAAAAAGAAATACTTTAAATACCCAACTCCATTTTCACTTACTTTCTGGATTATATTGGACTAGCATGGTAACAGATGTGCCACACTGGGAAAGTACTGTTGAGGCTGACTGCTTTGTAGCTGATCTCAAATTGATTCCACAAACCTCTAATAACTGGTCACCAACACACAACCCAACCTGTTCAATCATTCATCAATTAAACTCAGGACATATATCACAATATATGTAAATATTTTCAGTATGTGGTCACAAGATCTTACAGTGTAGAATATGTAACAATGACAATTAAGAATATGAATAAGCCATACCTGGGAGGCAAGTGAATTGAGTGTTACTGCAGAGACAAAAACACCCCCATTCTCTAAACAACGAATTTGGATGCCCAGAGGCTCTGCAGACTTTTCTATGTCAATATTTCTAATTTCTCCTGAATGTGGTCTGTTGGCAAAAATATATGTTATTCCTACATGAAAAAATATCACAAGAAAATAATAACAATAATGAAACATTAATATAAAGTTTTTTATTAAACAATTATGACTTTCAGTGATTAACATGTATAACCATTCCTTCATGAAAGGTCAATATACCTCTTCTGCCAAGTATAGTCCGGATAATGGGGGTTGTGCACAGAGTGTGTGATGTGAGTGATGTGTTGTCCTCTTGCTGACACTCCACCCCCACCGACTGTTTCCACGGAACATGTAAAAGGCATTGGGGATCCTCTCTCTGATGTTCTCTCAAGGCTGCTCCCTTTCCCTCCACTGCTCTTGCTTGCAACACTTGCATTGCTTGGTATTCTTAAAAGGACAATATTAGTTTATTCATCATTTGAACAGAACACCATGAAAATAGAGATCAAATCACATTACCACACATTTTGAAATAATAAAAATCTCAACCCGCCAAGGAGAAATTGTCAACTACTTAAAACAGGAATCAATCTGCTACAATATTTCTCAAAATCTCATGATAATAAAAGTAAGCACCCTAATCAATTATACTTCCCTTTATGATGTCAATTTTTTATCATAGAGACTGTGTTACCATTCTTTTCCAAAAAAAAGTATAAATAACTAAAAAAGAAAAAAAAGAATTACCTGATTCGTTCATCTTCTTTTTTGCGAGGCATGGTACCCGTGAAGCGTTGAGAATCGTGGTAAGACGGAGGACAAGAGTGGTGAGGAAGCAGTGGATGATCATCAGATGTTGGACGGTATGGGTGAAGATGATGAAGAGTACGGGGTTTGTGATGGCCAGGCAACTCTAGTGATGGGGAAGGAGAGTGGTAGAAAACTCCACCACTTACAGTCCCAATCATACCAACTGGTGTGGGGGAGGATGCCTGACGGCTTTCATAGTAGCCCCGACCATCTCGGGGATCACGTTCCAGTCCAGAGGGAAAAATGCTATCTCCACTCCTAGATTGTGACAGGTAGTGTGAAGGAACCACAGGCAAGGTGGGAGGCGACGAGTAGCGTGGAGAGACGGCAGATATTGAAGAGCCTACAGAACTATGAGGATACTGGTGAGGATGACTGAGGGAGAAATGTGACAAATGAGGATAAGGACCAAATCCTTGAGGTGATCTTAAAGGTGGATTTGGTGGAGAATAAAGCCCCGAATGAGGGTGAGGAATGCGTGAGTTGGGAGTGCGGTCATGATGCAGTGGGGATGGCCTCGTACCATACACAGGAGGTTGACTGATTTGAAGACTGTTGTCTATGCTCTCACTATCACTTGGAGGATACTTCAGAATATTCTTTTTTACATAGTACTCCAGCTCAGCCTTGCCAACTTTCCCAGACTTCACAGAGAAATCAAGTGACGTATCAGATGTAAGGGAACTTAAACGATCTCTATCTCTTTCTGAATCCTCACTTTTTCTTTCAATAGAGGTGTTGTGTGGACCTACATTAGAATACACCTCTTGACTGGGATATACATTACTACTGGACTGTGGACTGGAATAAACTTGGGATGCACTACTATAAGATGAAGGTTTTGCACTTATATCTACACTTTTATTGTAGGGGGAAAGCTGCTGACTCCTTGGGCTAGTTGGTGTACCTCTAGGACTTGATCTTGAGCTCATGTATCTATCATGGTGGTAACTTTCGTAAGATTTCTCGTCACATGAATACTGGGAAGTCATGGGGTTTGGAAAGAACACAGTGAGCTGAGGTCTCTCTCTTTTCCTTTCTGTGTACATAATTGTGCTACTGTTTGCATCCCTGGTACTCACTCCCCCACCTCTGTACTTGGGCCAAGTGCCTCCAGATTTATCTTTCTCCCTCTTTTTGGATCTCTTGGTTGTACTTGTCCCTCCATTGCTGCCACTCTTATGATGATAAGAATTATTTACAGAATCTAATTGAGCTATTGCACTTTCTGCTTCATGATCCAAGACAGATGTTAAGTGCTTCTTCTTTTCATCTTTTTCTCTACTCTCACTTCTTTCTTCAGCTCTTTCTTTACTGTGTCTTCTAGGTTTCACCATATTTTTGAAAAGTTCAAAAGGTCCAGTCCCTGAGCCTTTATCTCCAGCTGCCTTTGTTACATTATAAACTACCTTTTCACTGCTTCCATATCTCTTGCAACTATTATCTTCACTATGGGACCCTCCTGATCCTGGCATCAGTTTCTTCACCAGTTCTCTGCTCCCTGAGCGCCCTGGGCTGACCCCTGTCTCCTTGGACGGAGAAGTGGGGGAGGAGTATGGCCGTGAAGAGGATGTTGACTTGTCATCCTCAGTGATGTTATGGCCACTTGAGGAGGAGCTAAGAGGATCTGACAAGGAGGATGATCCATGTGACTTTAATGTTGTTAGCTGAACTACCTCCCCTGCAGCATCTAATAAACACTGTGCCTCCTCACAACTTCCAATATTATCCACTGGCTTCCCATTTATCTAGAAGAAGAAAAAAAGTTGTAAGAATTTCCTTCTTAAACACCTTAACTGTTATATTGATATAAAGAATAAAAATCAAAAGCTTACAATACAAGGAAAAATAAAATTGATATATATTACTTCAAAATAAACTTACATTGAGCACTCTGTCACCCACAGCTAAATTACTCTCTCTTGCAGCTGGGCTTCCAGGCAAGATGTTTGCTATGTATACCCCTGTGTGCAGCGTTAATCCATGATGTGCAGTGTGGGGACAGTGTAGATGAACTGTATGAAGACTGCGGCCACCACTTCGTCTGCGTCTGACAGTCATCTGTACCCAACCACCGCCATTAACAACAGCAGCATAAACACTTGAACGATGAACTCTTTGGCAGTCTACTCCATTCACATTAATTATTTGGTCATGTAGCCTGCAAACAATAATAAATGTCAGTATTTTGAAAATGTCCATACAGGCAGGGGGCTGGCCTCATGGATAGCATATCAACTTTAGCTTTTATGTGAATCATTATGGCACTGACAAAACAGCTACACAAAGCTACTTACTTCAGCAATGAAGAAAGACAGAGAGAGAGAGAGACATAAGGAAGAGAGAG